GATGTGTCAAGCTAAATTATTCTCTGGTTATGAGAGACAAAAGTTGATGTAAACAGATGTAAATAATGTGACTTTCACATGTTAGCAGAGTCTTATCTTCCAGGCAGGTGGGATGATGACATTTCCTGCTAAGGAAAAGGCTTAACATGATGTGATGACATGGTTCAGGAAACAGCAGAGGAAACACTGCCCTCCTTTCACTCTTTCAGAGAGCAGCTGATCCCAGACCTGTAAACCTCAGCTCAGAGCTGAAGCTGCTACACCAAACCAAAAGATTTCTCTGAATCAGAAGATACACCGTCACGATTATATTTGAAATTGTCATTTCATTTTTCTAAATTTCACACAAACATCTAGTGCTGAAATTATTTGAGAGCTTGATTAATAGATTGAACTGATAAATCATTTAGTCATTCACTAAAGAAAACGACAAATAACCTCCTGTTTCAGCAAATGTGACGACTTGACGTTTTTGTCTGTTTAAATTTACTGTATTTGTGCTTTTGCAATACTAATATAGTTTTGTAACTCATACCAATACTTTATTTTTACCAAACATTTTCTTTCTTCATTTAACAGAAAGTTCTCAAATGTTAAACATTGTTTTGTTTTACTGCAGCAGCACCTCACTTGTAAAGCACTGTATAACACTGGGAATAGGATTTCACTTTTTAAACATGTCCGAGAGATCCTTTAGGACCTTTTACATGATGAAAATATAATCATCAAATGCCATTCAAATAAATAATAATTGGGGAAGAAAAAACTTTCGTCCAGTTTTAAGAGCTAGACTTGTTTTCTGGGCAGTAAAAGCTTCAAGCTGATCTGATCCATGACATCAATTTTACTTTTTTAAATCTACATAAAATCCTCCAATAAGGAACCACTGAAGACCAAGCAATAGGCCTATCGTGAGCCACCGCCCTGCATATCTCTTACTAGTCAGTTTCCTGGCTGAAATTCCACTTTTACATTATCATTATGTTTCCAATTTTTATTAAATGATGCATTTCTTCTGATTACAATGTCAGAAATTATGGAGTTTGTTGATTTATAATGATAAGCTACTATTCCTGCAGATTTTAACTATTCCACACACAACTTTCACATCCACCTGTGGGGGTTGGACAGAAAGAGTGATTTCTCTTCTAAAATCTGTCATAATTCATTTTAGTTCTTTGATACTGAATCACTTCTGTTGGACTGCCAACTGCGATTAACACAAACATCTCTGCTTTCACTGTCATTGTGTTCAATTCATACATAAATCAGCAGTAAAAACAAAGCAAATAAAAATCACTTCTTATTGAAAGTACAGAAATCCATGGTTTTGTTTGTAGTTTCCGGTTCTTGTCTCTGGACTGCTGCAGACATTTGAACTGATCAAAACTGTTAATCACCACACACACACATGCCTCCAGGAACCAGCAGGGCAGCATACCGCAGGTAGAAACAAGATGATTAGTAACAGAACAAAGCAGCAGAACAAACACAACCTGAACAACATCTTCATTGTCCCTCGACAGCAGCAGAACCACATTCCTCCAAAGATCAATGCAGACGGCTTCGAGTTTTTACTGTGTGGTCGCATTCACATGTTGGACGCATTGCTTCAGCTTTATTTTGTTTATTGTAAATACATAACACAACTAATTTATAATTTTATCGTAACAATAAATTAAATGACTTGGTGTGATGCGAAAGTGTCTCTGGTAGATTATTTGCCTCTTTTAGCTCCTAGTTTTGTAGTCTCCTTGTAGTTCGCTAACGTGACTCATATCAGCTCCTATGCCGGGGCTGTGAACAAAACAATTCAATTTATGCAGCTTTAGACAATGAGTAAAAGACACTAGAGCTGCAGCGATTAGTTGATTAATCGATTAGTTGATCCACCAAAAATTAATCAGCGACAATTGTGATAATTAAATAAGAGTTTGTTTGTTTTTTTGTCAGAAATCCCAAATGTTTGGTGATTCTAGCTTCTAAGATGTGAGGTACTTTTCTCTGTCATACATAATTGAAACGTTATTATTTAATGATGCCGGTAAGAAAATTATAACAGCATTTTTAACTTTTTGTGAGATTAGTACTATAGTACTGCATAATGTCAAAATCCGCAGGTCGAACCTTTAAAAAATTCGGAAATCGGAATCCACCAGGAAAACTGCATATAAAAAATTTGGTTTTTCTACAATCAATTTTTTTACAAAATATTTTTCTACTAAACAGAAAGCTCTCAAAAGTTAATGTAACACATAAGGCCGTAAAAGAACTTTGTGAAGAAGTGAACAAGCCGCCATCACTTGTAAAGCCACGTATAACACTGTAATGTACTTTACCTTATAACTTTAAATGCTTTTGCCAAGAAACATGTCCAACAGATCCTGTATAACATTTAACATGTTCAAAATACTTTCACCAATACTTTTCAAATAAATAATAATTATTTGTGACATTTTAATACCAAACCACCACTCAAACAAAAGAAATAACCCCCATATTAATCAAAAATGAAAATAATCATTAGTTGCAGCCCTAACAGGCATATTTAACACTCTTTAATATTTTACTTATTGTTTTGAATGTTTGTCATTTCTATTCAGCTGCTGATTTGAGTTTAGTTACCTTATTTAGTTAGTTCATGTTTTCTGAGCTGACTGATTTACTGTAACCTGCTGTGAACATTGTTCTCCTGCAGCAGGAAACACGACAACGTTTGGACGTCTGTGGATGTTGAAACGTGTCCTGAAAATTGAGAGTTACTTAGAGATCTCTATTTGAAAGTATTGTCAGTCTGATTAAAACCACAGATGATATGCTGTTGTTTTGTAAAAAAAAAAAAATCTTAATCTTAATTAAAAAGTTTCATTGGGAAATTGGGTGGTGAACACATTACAAGTAAAAACTTGTGTCTAAATTCTTTCTGAAGCTCTTCAGGCGGGTGATTTGACAGCAACTCAGCAGGCATGTTTTTACTGGTGCTGCTAATGTTGCTAATGCTATAATTTCTATTTCTGTACTACAACCTCTACACATCCAGTAGTCTCCAGTGGTGGAGTGTAACTAAAAACATTTAATGAAGTACTGGACTTAATTACAATTTTGATATACTTGTACTTTACTTGGTTATTTCCCTTCTATGCAACATCATACTTCTACTTTACTAAAGCTCAAAGGGAAATTCTGTACTTTTTCAATGACAGCTTTCATTACAGATAAACTGTTCATTCCCTTCCTGTCCAGTTAAAAACCACAATTTCTCTAAATTTGATGATGTTGAATTCGGATGTTTCTGATAAACTGAAAGATAATGTGTTCCTTTATTGAGCTTAAGCGAAATAAACTATGTAAATCCTCCTTGGATCAGCTGGAAAATACCTTGTCACAAAACTAAAAACAGGGCTGTTTCTCTGAGCTCATGAAAAGTTGACTTTTTAGAAATACATGGACCTCGATCTTAAATAACATGATGCATTGCTGTATTGTACATTAAACAACTTAAACATTATATTGAAGTAAAGGATCTGAATACATCTGGTAGTATCAGTAGGCTTTTAGCAAAACAACAAATAAACATCTTTCCACACCAGGCTGCCATGATGGCAAACTGTTTACAGAGGACTGTGTGTGTGTATTTGCAGACTATAAGTCACTCTCAGGCAACTTGTGACTCACAAGGCAGCAATAAAAAACTCTTTTCTTTCTTTCTTTCTTTCTTTCTTTGTCTGCCCCTTCTCCACACCCCACTCCTTCTCTCTCTCTCTCTAGTAGACAGCACTGTATGTTTCAAGGTCTCTCGACCACTGATCATTTTATAGTGACCAGCTTTTATATAATGCAGCCTAACAGACAGACAGGCGGTGGAAGAGTTAACTCCCTGTCTGTCCTCTTCACATTCTTCTTCTCTTACACTAACAGAAAACGCCCTTTTACTATCGTTATTTTTTTTTTTTTTAAACACTTTTCTTTACCAAATGAAATGTTTTCAAAGCTGGCGGTGCAGCTTCTCACCTTGGACCCCGCTGACATCCATCACCTGTCTGCATCGGGCTGCAGCTCCTCCCAAACGAGCCACGAAGAGATCCACAATCAACAGTCTTTAAAAAAGGAACAAGCACTGAACTGAAATGTTCCCCGCTGCTTTCGCTCTTCCGTTGAAACAAACTTCTCTTTTCTTCTGAAATAAGTCAAAGTCAAACTTCAGGTCCAACGATTCAGCTGAACAACAACCCGAGAGCTGCTGTGATTTTTACCGAAAAGCCTCCTTTCAACTCACTGTCAAGTTCATCTATCTTCCGGTGACACCTTCAAAATAAGGGCCATTTAACTACTTTCTCGCTAGAGGTGAAGCTCAAGAGGGGTGGAGGAAATACTCAGTGAAAGTCCTGCATTTAAAGCAAAGGCTAAACCTGACAAAAGATAGAGGAACTACCTGATAAAAAAGTAAAGAAGGTTATAAATCTAATATTCAATGCTGCCTTTCAGTAATAGACACCTTTTTGGTATCAGAGCCACAGACACAGCTTCAGTGCCCAGCTCAATAGAAACTATGCAATGAAACGAAAAAATAATTAGCAAATTAATACATATAAATTTATAGTTGCAGCCTGACACCAGTGACAGAGCCTGTGCTTTTATTTTGAAAGTATACCACTGATGGGTTGTTAGTTTTGGAGGCTTCTGTTGTTTCAAGCCCTTGATGCTTCACAGCTCAAACACTACAGCTGTCTGCTGGTTTTTATGTCAGTGTGTGTTTTACTGTAAGAAACTAAACGTGTTAGTCAGCTTGAAGCAAACGAGAGATGATGGCCTGTCGTAAAGTAATTAGTACTTAGTTACTGTGTATTTCTTTATGTATTTTTTTTGTACTCAAGTATTTATCCTTCTCGTTAAACAACTTTTTGCTTTGTAACTTCCTACAAATCTGGTTTAAATAACTACAAAAAACAGCTTATTCTTAGTACAATCACAAATGCTCACAGAGATTGAACAAAAAAAGATAAAAAGAGACATGTTTTATTAGATGGATTTATCTATTTCCTACATTAGAGTACTATAAAACAGTACATTCCTAGAAAATGTAGAAATTATAGTAAAACATTCTATCTATACAAAATTGAAGCAGAACAGTCATTTCCAGGAACAACAAATATTTATATTGACAAGTAGGAAATGCTGAATCTTCCCTTCCAGCAAACTCAAACCTGCAGATCAATCAGAAATCGTCACTCTGCCTTCAGCAGCAACTCAAACATTTGAGTCAGAAAATAAGACTTTATAAAGCTTTAAATACAGAGCTCATAGTGAAAGAAATCACTAACTGACAGTCATGGCATCTTTCTATGTGTCAGATATGAATGGGATCAATAATTGAGGAGTGTATGGAAGCCCATTTGGGAAAAAAAGGATAAAAGTCACAATTATGATAATTAAAAGTTTTTCCTTTTTAAGCCAAATCAGTCTTAATTTTTACTTTCTGATCATTTTAAATTAAGAGTTTTGACTTACTTTTGGGGGGACAACCACGTTTACAACATCATTTTACCTTAGTAAATCAAAAACGTGACATAATTTCATCATTTCATTTGACAAATTCAACAGGAGTTCATGTACGTATCTCTAGTTCTGGCAGGAAAGGGTTTAAGTGGTTACATAATCTTTAAACAAAGTGTCACTTTTCATAATGCCCTCATCGTCGCTGCTTCCTGCAACAATGTCGGAAAAGGATTACAAAGCATTACAAAAAATACATAACTGTAAATGTAGAGTTAATATTCAGTACTTTAAAATATGTAATCAGAAGCTTAACAATGTACCCACAGTATGCAATTTATTATGGTGTAGGAGCGGTGCCTCCAGCCAAATGAATGTGAAATGCACTGTATACTCTGAAATTGTGAATTAAAATGCGGAAAAAAATAAAATTCAAAAAAACTAAAATTTCAATTTAAACATAATTCACACAACTCTTCCAACATATTATGTCACATTAGCAGGTTTTAGTACATTTTTGATGGTTCTTTAACAGTTTAATGATTTATGATTAAGGCAGCTTCAACGATGAGCCATTGTCAACAAACAATTAGAAGACATTTCTATGTTGAAAACATTTTAAAATAAGGTATGCAGAGATGAAACATCCAATCAGTTTGGATAAAATGTTCCATTGCTAACTGTTTTGGGGAATTCCCCTTGCATGTGAAAAGACAGCATTCATTGACTTTGTGGTTTTTCCCCAAAGTATTTACCGGTTACTTGGTCTTGTTGAGAATAAAACAAAAAAAATCCTCTGAATTGAAATGGTGCCTTTTTATCGTCGCCCTTAAGTCAGCCTTTGATAAAAACAGCTTTTCATCGTGGATAACAGAACTTCAGAAGCTACTTAGATCCTGTTAGATGTTGTTCAACATCTGGACGTGCTTGTGGCATCTTCCTGTGTTTAAAAGTGCCTGAACAAACGGTTTGCTTCCACATCATGTTTTGGTACAGAACATCAACTCAGCTGTCAGCTGTCAATCAATCCAGACACAGTGCCAAGGCAGTCTTCGGTTTGAACTGGTCTGCACCGTCTGGAGATCTAGTCCTTCAAAAATCATCCAGGCAGGGCGACCAACGGTTCGTATTAGTTACCAGGATTAGTAGTGTTCTAGACGCAGTGGTTCCCACACTTACCAAGGTTCTCTAAATCATTGGTAACCAGCGTTCTAGTAATTTCCACAGGTGAACCTCTGCAGTGCCTTTTCATTAATTCCACTTCAGATCCAAGACCATTAAGTTGTTGGCTCTGTGATGACAGTCCTCTTCTGATTGGCAGGAGGTGTTCCCCTACAGGGACGCCACAGGGGCGAGTCCGTCACTGTGCTCTAGGTGCTGATAATGGTGCAGTTCAGCTTTACAAACTGTGGCAGCGCTGCAGCGGAGCAACGTGACGGCAGGCGGCTCCTCGTCACCTGAAAGACACACGGCAGGTGTGAGCGATGTCATTTATTTTGCCTTCGCTCAACAGTTACACGAGGAAACGAGAGCAGAATTTATCACATAACATTAAGAAATTAAAATGAAACAACACAGAATAATAGTACAGAATAGTATTTTAATTTTAAAAGACTTCAGGTGAGTTTCTTAGAAATAGCCAGCCCGCCTTACCCAGCCCAGAAGAAGAGGATTCGCTGTCAGCCAGGGAGGAGGAGTCCGCCTGGTCATGTGACAGCCCCTCCATTAGGGGGATGGAAAGCTCTGAGGACGGGACCGACGAATCATATATGCCTGAATCACGAGGAGGCGGAAGCTCCGGAGGGGAAGGATGGCCTTCTTCTGCCTGGGCGGGGACAGGGCACACCCCATCCTGGAGGATGGAGGGAGCAGAGGAGGAGGAGGAAGATTCTTCTGGTAACAGTTCAGATATTCCAGAAGTGGACCTAAAGGAGCAGAAAAAGGTGAGGGTTTCATGGTGAGTTTCAAAAGAGTTAAATCATCATCAACAGCAGCAGAAAATATCCGTTTATAACTTCCTCTCTTAAGTCTGATTTATACTTCTGTGCCGAGTCTGCACCGTAGCCTACGGCATGAGCCGCGCACGTACCCATGTATTTATACTTGTGCGTTGATTTCCACGTCGTTCTGCAATTAAACTGCCAAATCACTAGTTTGGCGGTAGCGTTATAGCATCCACTGTGTTGCCGGCTGAGCCAGCTAACTTCCACTGCTTGCTCTGCTAACTTGAATAGGGGTAAAATGATAATCGTGCGGTTCTTCTAGACTTTTCAAATGTTATTCTGATAGTGAAAAGAGTCATTACGCGTAGGTTGTGATGCTCAAAAATACTGATCCAACATGTTACAGCCGCTGGATTGGCCTCTAGTAAAATTGACTCCAAAGCGCGGAGCACTTCCTGGGAGCCTGGAGGAAATTCACGGATACCAATCCGACCAATTCTTGCGGTCCGTGTCGCAGCAACGAGTAGTTACATTTTTGGGGAGGTGCATGTCAGGCTACGGCGCAGATTTGACACAGAAGTATAAATCAAGCTTTAGACTTGAGTCACGCTACAGAGGGGTCACACAAAACTCGACCCTGGAGGTAAAAAACTAAAACCTATCTTTAATGCTCAAAGGAGAACAATTAAATCCTACAGCGGTATTACACCTTGTTTACCTTGAAGTGGGCCCAAGCGTGGACAAAGAGCAATGTGGTAGGCCTGGACTGGGACAGAAACCAGGACTGGGACAGAGACCAGGACTGGGACAAGGACCAGGACTGGGAGTGTGGCTTGGGCTCGGACTGGAGCCAGGGGCCAGCAGCAGCATGTTCCTCTTTGACGGTCCCTTTCCGCCCTCCAGCGGCGGCGTTTTCACCACCACCTCATTCAGCACCACGCCAGAGTCAAACCTCCGCGCAGGTTGAGACTTTGGAGGAGGGCTTGGTGCCGGGTCCGCAGAGACAGAAGGATGTTTCGATGAGGAGGCTGAGGAACTTCCTGAAGGAGCCAGCTGCTTCTCAAACCAGTCGCAGTTCTGGCTGATGTACTGGTGCATGTTGCAGATGGAAACGTAGAGCGAGCGTCCGGACTTACTTCTGAAGTAGTTCCTCCTGGAGACATTGTGAGGCTGTGTCTCACGATCAGCCAGACTGGACTGACTGGAGTGGAGCCGACTGAAGAGCTGAGGCAGCTGGTCCATCAACTTAAACCTAAACACAGGAAATTATTTTCAACTTTAAAACCAGAAAATATCCATAACAATCTTGTACATGTTGTGTCCTGTAATATTTGCTCTAATTATTATTATTATTTCTTGTTGATTCAACCGCTGTTAATAATGATCAAATGGACAGTGTAAGGCTGCTGTTACCTGTAAGACATATTTTCCTTTATTAATGGAAGAAAACTTCCCTTAACTAGTCCATTAACACATACATTTATACTGTATTATTCTAACTCACAGTTTCAAGTTAAAACAAGTTTACAAGATTTATACTGCTTTCCATTTCAAGTTAAAAGGATTTCAATTCCAAACTGTTTAAATTTACATATATAAGGCTCTTGTCAGGTACTTCCTCCACCGGTGGCACTAGTCCTTTCTTGTCTACCACAAAGGTGTCAATATTTTAGTTGGAATTTAAACATATGACTTACTGGCAGTGTATAATTAGTTGATTTACTTTGCCATAGCTTAAGGAAGACAATTTCTCTCAAATCAAAAGACGCAGCAACTATTTTCTTGTCGTCTCGTTCCCATCCCCGCACACCAGCCTTTTTTATACCCAAGTTCAATAAACACATACATACACAAGTCTCAAATAGTCTCAAAAACATACAGCTGAGTTTAAAATCTAAAACCTGTCAGACCTCTTTAAGTAAAAAGTAAGTGGACTTAACTAAATGGGGCTGTAATGAATTACAGCGTTGTTGTTTTTGAAAGTGTTTGTTATTTTGTCCACAGCATTGTATTTACCTGGGAGCCAGACTCAACATGGTGGGTATGTCGTTTTCTGTGGAGTAGTCGAAGTAAACAGTCATGTAGCGGTTCAGCTCCTGAGCCCCGTCCCCCTCGCTCTGCCTCACCAGACGCAGCTTCTCAGCGATCATGGCGACGCCCACAATGAACAGGTCACCGCCTGTTCCACCAATCGGAGAGCTGCTGCTGCTGCTGCTGCTGCTGTTGTTACGGCGACTGACTGGTGTCTTCCCTCTGTGGCTCTTCCTCTCCACATAGTAGCTGCAGGAAGAGAACTGAGCCGGTTAGAACAGAATATATAAAGAACTGAAAAAACAAGGACAGATGGATGGAGGGACAGAAGAAAAGATGTTAAATCTGGTAAGTATGGTAGCCACACAGGGGAGCATTTAGCAGCTGGTCAGATATTTCCCTCTGGAGGTGGTAGAAACCAAAAACTGAGCTAAAAGAGATTAAATATTGGACTTTCATTCACAAGGTGATTAGAAACACGACTCAAAATTAATAATAATGTTGTTGGATGTGTAATTAGGCAACTGTTTGCTATAACATGTTCACCATATCAAAATTAAAAGGTGATGATATGCCAAGTGTTTTCTGTCAGTGATGGTAATATCAACACTAATAATAATTGTTTACATATTTATTCTTTTTCTTTTTATCCTTTGTGGTCCCTATATGTCAGGATGGCAAGGACGGGGGCATGGTTTTGATAAAGAAATATGGTCAGTGGGTAAAGGCAGATATGAAAATGGGGATTTTGAAGAAAAAAAAAGAAAGATTTGAAATGTAAAGAAAGACAGATGGAACAAAGGAAGATGAGAGAGAAACAAATAGGGTCAGTTTTGAAGGAAGAATGAAAGAGCAAATGAAAGAAAAGGTATAAAAATAAGAAACAAATGAGGATGGAAAGAAAAAGGGAAGAATGGAGGAACAACATTAAACAATGTCTTCCAACACACACAATAACCTCTGACGGGCAAACTTGTTATGGAAATAGTTTTTTTGGAGAATTTGAGAGATATTCCCTACAGAGTGTTTCAGCAGCACCTCGAGGTCACTGGAGGTACTGCAGCTGAAGGCACTTTTAAAAACATCACTTGCAGTTTTGACATAAACACAGTACAGAAAGTACCGTAGGCCTTTGGAACAGACAGTGATGATGAAGTTGGCTTCGTCCAGCTGTCTGCTGAGCCACGACATCTGACCCTCCCTGCACATTTCCAGGTGTTCCCACAGGTCCAACACCACCTAAACACAAGTGAACAGGGATTTCAGAGCCAACCTTCAAAAAAGGGACTTTGATTTAAATGGCAATTTCTTTTAAAATGTTTGTTTATAACTAAATGTTTCCTCTTATCATTCAGCCATTTCCTGGTTTGTCCATCTGTCGTCTCACCTCACAGTTGCAGAAGTCCTGCAGGAAGTAAGCGAAGCTCTGAATGACAGTGGTGTGTTTGGGACAGTCTCTGTTGGAGTAACAAATGAAGACTTTTGGGCGTGGCCACGGCCGCTCCGTGTTCAAAGCTGCACTGTGATTGGATGACTCACTGCTCTCCTCATCCAGCTGGCTGTAGATATTTTCTATAAGGAGACAAATGGACAAGACGGGTTAATGTTTTAGAATAATGTTAGATCTGTCCACTAATCTTTGCATCATGCATAATGTGTATCCCAACATTGAGTTTTAAACCCAGAGCACAACTACATCACACCTTCATTGAACAGTGGATGTTCGAGGTCCCATGCGCAAAGTGTGCAGGACACTAATACACTTACAAACACAACACAGGAGAAGTGCTCAATAACACAGATTCTGACAGATTTGTGAACAATATTTGAGAGAAATAGGCCTTTTTTTTCCCCCTCACACAGAGAAAGTCTTAGATCTTTGAGTTCAGCTCATGATAAATGGGGGCAAAAACAAAAGTGTTTATAATTTTGTTCAGTGTACATAGTGAATTAAAACAAGCAATTTCACCAGTAATTAGTGCTCTCACCTTGCTGTTTCTTGCGACACATGACAGTGAAGAGAGTGGCGAAGGCAGACATGATGACCAGAGGCACTGTGATGGCCATGGCACGGATAGGCCCCGCCCATGGGGAGTGTACTGGAGATGAAACAACCACACCAAGCATGAGACAAACTAATCAGATAGTCCTTCAAAAGCAACACTAGGTAAACTATATGCGTGTATGTAACCACAAAATTACTAAAACAGAAGAGTCATAAAGTGAGTAAAATGGCTTAGTTGTAGCAATATCAATTTTAATTTTCCTAACATTAGCTATTATTAGTTAACCTTTGGTACTAGTCATACCATAACACTTAAGGCTGTAGCAATAAAACCCCCAAGTGTAATGAATTTTGCATTGACGCATTTTGTTTCTTATGAATTCAGCTTTCATTTGTAAGAGGAAGAATGTTTTATTTCTTCTTTCAATCAAATCAAACAACTTCCTGCAGCCCTGTATTGATGGGGCAGCTAGTATTGGCAGCCATGACGTCCACTCTGCAGCTGACGCACACCTGACCCACCAAGATAAAACACCTGACCCCCCAGTATAGCATCTTAAACAGCCCCTCCCAGCTCATACAAGACAAGTGTACGCTACCTGCAGGTTAGGAAATGGCAGAGCCTTATTAAAGAGAAAATGTAAACCTCTGAACAGCTTTCCTGATTATCTGTTTATTTGTTTTTCGTCTCTGCTGACAAAATATCTGCTATCCACCATGATAAACGTGTATTTACCTGCATGCTGCTTTTACAAGACTGATATTTGAAGACATTGCATTGGGCAGGAAATGTGGTCACCAAACAGTTAAACAACAAAATATTCTGCAGACTAATTAATAATGAAAATAATCAGTTCCAGTCTTTAACAGTTACATAGATTATTGTGTGTGTGTGTGTGTGTGTGTGTGTGTGTGTGTGTGTGTGTGTGTGAGTGTGAGTGTGTGTCTATCTCACCCTGACTGACGTAGTACTGAGTATACCTCCTGGTGGAGTTACTGTCATCTCTCAACTGACAGAGAAAATAGGAAAAGTAGTGAAAGAAAGGGAACAGAGAGAAACATGATAAATTCAATGGATGAACAAATATATATGAATTTTAAAGTTTTCCGTCTTTCCGTCTAAAGTGTTTTGCATTTTAATCCATATATAAAGTGAAGAGAAGAATCCATTCAGAACTGAAAAGGCATTCATGTACCTCTATAATGTAGGTCCCTGGAGTGACGTCCTGGAGGATACATGTAGTTCTGGGCTGGTTCACGTCCTGCACACAGTAAATGTATTTAAAAAATGGACTAAATCAACTGAAAACTCAGCCAGACCTGCAGGCGGCCTCAGAGATTGAATGAAGTCCATCTTCTTTTCAAAGAGCCACAACTTGAACACCAGAACTTAAACGTCCGGTCCACTTTTCGTTGTGGTCAAGGGTTGGTGGTTTGATCCCCAGCTCCTCCTGCCAACACGTACACGTGTCTTTGAGCAAGACACTGAACCCCAAACTGATGGCCAGGCCACAGGCTAATTGTTAAGCGTTTGGTCCTTTTACCATCGCCTTCTAAAAAACAGTGTGTGAAACCTGAATCACTTTGTGACTTGAGCAAACCTGCCCATACTTACTGGTTTGCAGCGCTGCAGTTTGAAGGGTCCGTCCTGTCGCAGTTTGTAGTACAGGTAGTAGAAGTGAAAGCCGAAGGAGGTCGGAGCCTGGTCGAACACCACGTGGAGGTTCGACCCCAGCTGAGACACGTTCAGGGTCTTTGGCTTCCAGACTGCGCAGGCAGAAACAAAAATTTATCTCCACTCTCTTGGACATGCACGAGACATGTACCTTTATTATGCAATTACAATTAGTAGTACAAAAGTATTAATTAAACTTCAATTAATAGCCAGGGCTTTTATTTGCTTCAATCACTGAACTCACCGTGCCTATATTTGGGACAGGCCTTTAATTCCTTTTGCTCAGCATAGATGGGTAATAGGCTACAATGAATGTGTTTATATCAACAAGTAAGAATAATACTTGTATAAAAATTATCATTCTTGTTTGTTTGCCATACCAGCAGGTCTAACTAAAACGAATGAATTGTGTGGAATCTAAACCCATCTTAAGATATGTAACATGTCCATATTGACAAAACTGAAAATTCATATATTTCAGTTTTCAGTACCTAACAACATGTTTCAATCTCTGTCAAACTCAACACTTCTTTCAAAGATGTGGCAAAGATGACAAAACACGATCCTTCTATTTCTTTGTAGGCTTTTTAATGTGAAACATTTTATCAGCTTTCTACAGGCAGTCTACACACGGCTCTGGTTATGACGACGACACTGAGGAACTTACATGGTTTGCAAACCAGGTTGTCTGATCCCAGGAGGACTTCACACGCTGCAAGTTGAACAAACACAGAAATGTTTAGTCAGCTTGTTTCTATTCTCATTGTGCAGCCTCACCTTCACTTCAGTGAGCCAACAAATTTGATAGGACAGTCTTGACTTTGATTTTGGACAATCCATGTTTAATTGTTTGGGGCTTAGGTAACATTTCTGAAACTGTCTACTGTATGTGTTCATTCTAGTTAGCTAACACGTTAGCCACAAACCAAATAAAGAGGAAGCTGAATTTTGTTGACAGTACAATAAAGACAACCTCGCTATGAAGACTATACAATAGATTCTGAGATGCTGTTTGCAGCCACAGCAGTTAAGTAAACTTTTTTTTTTGAAAGACATCATTTTTACTTTTTCAGAGCTGGGCTACCTATTTCCTCCTGCTTCCAGTGTTTGTGCTAAGCTAAGCTAAATACATGGAAGTTGTTCTCACCGGACTCTGGGTAACACAATAAATAAGCATTTTTCAATGAACCAGTTAACTGATCGATCCTGTTCGGATGAGGAGACGGCTGGACTCACAGTTGGTCCTGAGGAAGGATGGAGGGAAGAAGCTTTCATTCATCAGAGAAGGGAAAGGAACAAGACGAACCATGTAGTCTGTGTCAAAGGTCAACCCACTGAATGGCTGACTGCTCAGCTTCTGTATATGTAAATAAACAATAAATCAACAATAAATACAACGAGTCTGATAACAACAGTAAATTAGTTCCATTGAGCATCTTTGGTCACTGTGTTAAACATCAAGTCAGGGATGGAAACAATCTGTCTGTTCACCATTCTCTTGTTTAAAAAAAGTTTGTTCATCAGGGACAATGCATGTTATTGAGATCACTGTAAATAAATGTGCCAAACTTGGCCAAATAGCTTTTCTTTCACCTCAGTTCCTGGCTAGAGTTAAAAGTAAAAAAAGAAGACCCGAATAAGCAAATAAGGCAGGACTTAATAACTGCAAAAGCAACTTGAACGTCTACAGATTCAGCCTGTCTGGCACTGTTACAGTAATTACTCCAAAGTTGAAAAGGTTCAAAGGTCTTTAATACAGTACTCACATACGCCATGCCACAAGTGTTTATCTTTGATGTAGGTTGTGTGTATGTTTATTGCCTGTGTTTTATCACAGCCACAAATCTACATGTGAATATTGGGACGTATCCCTCCGCTGCAGCTCAACATTGTAACAGTGTTCATACTAAAAGTTTGGACAGAACGGGGACTGTAGATTCTGTCCCTCATCTCTTACATTGGAGTCAAGTTAGGAAGGGATCACTTCAATAACTCTTTCAAAATACATATATAATGTGAGTATTGTATTAAGATAAAAATCAAGAACAGCCTTCAAGCTTGGCTTGGGCACCAACATTATTCAGCCAGAAATACATGAATATAACCCCGCCGCCCACAAATCTCAAATATACTGTAGATAACATTTGTAAACAACAACAATAAGCAGCTTAGTTTCTCTTTCTCTGCGATTAATTAGTTTGTTGTTATTTTTGGTCCTACCGTGCTCCTGTAGGAGAAGTTGAGCTGACGAGGGTCTTTGAGGATGAGATGTTGACACTGTTTCCCTTCTGGATTCTTGTCCTCCAGATAAACTCTGAAGCCTTTAATGTGTTCGATTCCTGCAGCGAGACAACAAGAAGTTTGGCAAAAACAATGATGCACATCCATCCTTCTTTCCTTGTTTCCTTTCCTCCTCCCCTCTCATCACCTCATTCTGCTATTTCGATTCTATCCATCTTCTTTACTCCTTTCCTCGTCCTCTCCTCTGTTCATTTTCTTCTCTACTCCTTGTTTCCTTGTCCTTTCTCTCACCATATTCTTCCCCACCCTCCTTATTCTCTATTTGTGTCCTTCCCTCCCTTCCTTTTCTCTTATTATTTCCTCTTCTCTTTTTGCTTCACTCCCTTTCCTTTCTTTCCTCTTCTCTCCTCCTCTCCTTGTTTCTTCATGTCCACCTGTATTCTACTTGTTCGCTTTCCTCCCCTCCACTCATTTTCTATTATTCCTCCACCCATCTTGTCTCCTTCTTTCCTTTAACCCTTCCTACCATTTCCTGTCTACTTTCATCCCCTGCCCTCCTTATGTTCTTCTCTTTGTTTCCCCCTCCTCCTCTCTTCTCCTTGTAACCTTCCCTTCTTATCTTTGCTCTTTGAAAACACATCTGTCTTGTAATTATACCTTTACATCCACAGGACATGTTTTTCCTATTAGCTCTGTGGGGAGCGGAGAGAGGGAGAAAGAAAGAGAAAGCAGTAGAACAGGTTTTTCTGTCTTGAGGCAGATTCCTGTTCTGTCGCTCTCTCTTAACAACAGCAGTAGGTTTGGTCTCAGTTTTTATCTGCAGGCCTCTATGGGTGGCAATATCAGTTTGTCGGTCACTCCAAGGCTGAAGTTCCTTAAACCTGCATTTTCTCTAACAGCCAGCAGGGAGCAACTCCACTGGTGGCAAAAAGAAGTCTGATTGTATAGAAGTCTATGACAAAATGAGCCTACTTCTCACTTATTACGTCAGTAAACACTTTCCTAGAGTTCATGGTCTCAATAGTATTTTCAAGTCTTCTTTAATACAGCATGATGTTCATTTAGTAAATTATAGTCCAATTTAGAGGAAAATAGACAATAAAGCAGCATATGCTTGAAGGCGGGGCTACCTTGTGATTGACAAGTTGCAACACAGGAATGAGTCAGGCATAGCAATGCAAATCAACCATCGAAATAGTTGCTAATTAAATTTTTGTCGCTTCACTAATCAGTCCATTCATGCTCACATGCTAAACTAAGGTGGTGAACATGATAAACATCTTACCTGCTAAACAGCAGCAAGCTAGTTGTGTTATCATGTTAGCATCCAGCTCAAAGCGCCGCTGTGTGTAAGTGCAGCCTCACAGAGATGCTAGCACGGCTATAGACTCTTTGTCTTGTTTAAAAATCAGTCCATTCAACCTTAACAGCAGAGAGAACGGCTGAGGAGTCTGATATAGAAGGTGATCCATAACTGTGCAACAGTGAGAGGAATGATATGGTGGTTTTACATGCTAATTTCACTTCTCCATGATGTATTTTATTTAAGATCTAAGCCCAGTGCTCAGATGCATTATCACACAAGACTAGAATCAATACATCAAACTCCACATGATGTTATGAAGACCTTTAGCTTTTGTCTGCTTAATAAGAGTTTTTTGTCTATACAGTATTATGGTTAGAGTGTAAAACACATGTGGCACGTCATGTGACTCCCCAAACGCAAAAGTCAGGTGCTGCAGGACAAGCTAAACTCAGGAGGACTGCGTGTAGTAACTACCTTTCTGAAACATATTTAGAGAACTGCAATGAATTCCTAATCCTGATTCATAAAACTAATTCATACTTGTCATCTCCTGAATTCTCAACAAACCAAAGCAGGCCTCTTCCACCTGCTGCAGTCTGTAAAATCCAATCATGAAAGAAATGTTTACTGCCTACTGACAGGAATGTGTCATATTAACATAATTACTGATGTTCAGCATTTTAAGACAGAGGACCACACAATTTGTGTTTATACTAAACGATTTCAGAGAGGCGTTTCTGCTGACGTTTCTGGATCTCAAACTGCTCAGCTTGCTCTCATTAGGTGCTGCGGGTTTCTGATTAGAGCCTTTGCGATTTTAAAATCATAAATATCACAATTTGCAATCAAGGTGCCTACGATCCAGTCGGCAACCTTAAGAATATATGTCATTAAGCCCCTCAAACTGCAGGATGATTTGGGCAGATAATATGTTTTGACCAGCCTTGGCTCAGTCAACGCCCACGCGATGGTCAGGAGGGGCGAACTAGACCCATAATTGGTCCAATTATCCTCTAGTCTGCCAGTATAAGTAAAAGCTTCTTTTGATGATAAAAGAAGATCGACCTGAAATTAAACCAATTAACATCCAATTTTCGCTTTATACATGTACAATCCTCTGTTCTGGCTGCAGCAAAGTTTGCAAAAAGAACGGAAAAAAATTGGGCAGCTGTAGAAACCATTTTGCAAAAGAAAAACCATTTTCCGCTTTCAGTGTTTTAAAACTTTTAGCTCTGAATTGCTCCGCAGGAAGAAGTAAAGCTGGTACTGAGGACGACATTGGATGGATAGATTTTCTTTTTTCACCCCAGATGACTAATTCTGGCAGCGGCTCACATGTGGCTGTGACAAGCAACATTTCTGGAAGATATCTGTCTCTCTGTGAGAAAACAACAGGCTGTATTGTCACAGAGAGAGCGGTTCACCTTACACTGAGCGCACACACACACATTCCTTCACGGTCAAATCGTGGTAGTGTAGTGTGAGATATGATCCTCTCTTATTCTCCAGCCCTGATCAAAGGGACACGCACACACATGTAGGTGGGTAATCTTACGGATTTGAGCACTTTGAAGGTTTTACCTTCCTGCTCCGTCTCCCTCATTTTCCCTAATTTCTCTAAAACTCTCCCTGTGGAGAAGTATGTAAAGAGTCAACAGACAGACAGTTTAACCAACAAATAAGTAAGCCAACAGACAGATACCTAGTGGATGTGCAGACCAGTGGACGACCACGGCGGCCTGATCGTCACAGGCCAGATGGCTGAAGGAGACGTTGGTGACCTCATGAATCACATGTTTCCCCAGCGGGTAGTTTAATGAACAGTCTGCAGGGTGAGAGACACGGACAGACAGACATTAAGAACAGTACATACAACCACACTTCATCCTCTTTGACAAAAATATTACACCTATTACTTGAAAGCAGTTGTACAAATGGCCACATGGTGCATATGGTGACATCATCATACCCACCAGCGGTGTAAGATGTACTCTTTACCACAGCGCAGATATACTCTGTTAAAAGTCCTGCATTCAAAATTTGACTCAAGTAAAAGGACAAAAGTATTAGCATCAAAATATACTCAAAAGTAAAAAAAAATAAAAAGTCCTCATTTTGCAGAATGGCCCATTTTAAATATAAAATATAGGGCTTTTTTAAACTTATTTACTGCAAAGTAACTTGTGAATTTCACCAGGGGATCAATAAAGTCTTATATTTATCCATAATAATATTGTATAGCAATTATATTTTGTATAACTGATCTGAATCTGCAAGACAACTAGTAACTACAGTTATCAAATAAATGTAGTGTAGTAAATAAATAGTACAATATTTGCCTCTGAATTTTAGAGGAGTAGAAGTAGCAAAGATGCAAATACTCAAGTAAAGTACAGTACTTGAGTAAATATACTTAAGCTACTTCCCACCACTGACTGTCTGTCAGTCTGCTGGAGTATTTCAACATGTGATGGACATGAAACTCTCTGGTTGAATAATCTGTACAAACAATGAGACACATGAAGTTGTTTGTTTCTAAATGCAGTGAGGAAGAGTTCTGAATAGAGTAAATGAGGAGATTTTTTTCAGGTTGCAGCAGTGAAAGTCAAGTTTGTTTTCTTATAGACAATGTTGGAAGACATGTCATGAGCATGGAAATTAAACTTTCCTTTATGATTAAGCTTTTTTAAACTTTAAAAAGGATTACACTGGTGACCCTGTAGATGCAAACACTAACACACACAGTTTGACTTGACATATTGTTAGCAGTAGCACACTGCAGCATCATATTTTCCCAGCTGTCAGAACTAGAAAGCTGTCACTCATATTGCCTCCTGTTTACAACATTTCTCTTGTTTTATCGACAAAGATGGAGGGGCAGAGAAGGAGGAGGAGAAGGAGCAGCCAGCCATGAACCGAGAGGGACTCGGAGGAGAAAAGATGGACTTAGGATACAGAATGAAAAGGGGCGTGAGCTCAGACACGACTGACTGCTCCTCTTTCCTCCTGCCAGCCACCTATTGACGGAGGGGACTGAGGTGAGGAAGATCGGAAAGAGGAGAGGAGCTTAAAAAGGATGGAGATGACGGAGAGGAGGTTAGGAGAGCATGGGATACGACACGAGTCACTGCTCCTCTTCCTCTCGGCTCCTCAAAGCGGGGTCATGTTCAGGGCTAAAGGAGAAGGTCACGGCTGGTCGCTCCTCTTCTCCTCCTCTTCCTCAGTCATAAAGCTTCTCTGTAGGATATAAGGAGGAGGGGGAAGTCGCAGCTTGTGCGTCCTCTTCCTCCTTTCCTTCATTTTGTATTCAGAGATTCTTTAAAAAACAAAGAAGATGAGGAAGACGAGGATGAAAGAGGGATGTGAAGGCCAAAAGGAGATGTTTGATGCAGGAGGAAGAGAAAAACCTTCATGGTTCTCACCTCCCAGCTCCTCTTCATCCTGTTCACATTCTAGTTTAGGAAGCAAAGAGGATGAGATGGAGGTTGTAGCCCTCTATGGCAAGCCAAAGTATTCATAGACGCCAGGTCGAGTATCTGATTGCACACCGACATGTTAAAAGTGCGTGATTTGCCATAAAAACCATGCGTTCTTGATGGAGTCATGCACAACGCGTGAATAAAAAGTAATTATGGGTTCTATTTTTATAGCTTAATAGTGCTCACTAGTTAAGCTTACAATTATATTAAAGGTGTCTGCCTTTATTGAAGAATGAATGAATGAATATGTTTAGCAACCGTCATCCTCCCACAGCTATTTTAAAGAAAAGTTCATGTTTTCACACGCAAGACTCCGTCTGTTTTTTGTTGAACACATTTATAGCCTACTGGATTATAATAACTCAACAATTATAATCCTCTGTCAAATTCGTTCTTGATAATTTATGGTGTTTTCATTGAGTTTAATGATAATACGTCCAAAACCCCATCTAGCGGACAAAAACATGACAGATTGAAGCCTTTTGAGAACACTAAAGGAAGAGCATGTTCTTTTCACCTGTTCGGACATTCCCAACACAGGTTTGCACTCCCCGTTTGGTTTTCCTGTTTAATATAAATATAGAATTGAATATATAAGATTTGCTGATCTCCTAACCATCCATCCATCGGTGACCTACAGGAGGTCAAAGGTCATCTGATTTTATATTCCCCATGACATCACTGCAGACAGCGTGAGAGAGAGGAAGCCACTGACTCTCCTCCATCCTTCTCTGAAAGCTCGAGGTTTAGAGGAAAGGAAGCAGTGAGGTGTGTCACCCCCTCCACACACACACACACACACACACACTGAGCTGGTTCTGATTGTCATGCTAAAACACCTTTAACTTTGGCTTTGGTTTCAAAACATTTCATCTCTTCTTAAGAACAGGATGCATCATCATTTCAAAGTCACATGACCTTCTGACCCGTGACCTCCGCATCATTTGTGACCTAATATGTATTTAAGATTAACTTAAATGAAAATGAATCGCTTTTCTAGAGAAAAGGAGTCGCGGAAGCAGCTAAACGTTTAAATCGGGAGACCTCTCTTACAGAACAGTGATGATAATACGTTGTTATAAAGGAATAGTTTGACATGTGGGGAAATACACTTTCTTGCCGAGAGTTTGATCAATACAGATCAATACAGCCAGGAGATGGTTGGCTTAGCATAAAGACTGGAAACAGAGGGAAACAGCTGGACAGTCTCTGATTTGATCAATTAAATTTTTAATTTTTCAAGCAAAGATCATGAAAGGATGCTACACATCAACTCAACGGTGTGAGGACTTGTTTCTATTATTTGTCATTTAGGACAGTAAACTCAATACCTTTGAGTTAAGGACAGCTAAAACAAGACATTTGAAGACATCACCCTGGGCTATGGGAGTAAGTTTTAATGGGCATTTTCACAATCTAAAAAAAAGTTATTGCAATTCTTATGTGAATCAATTTGGGGATTTTGGTCATTTACAACAGATTTAATCTGCTGAAAAAAGAGAAAATTTGTACTTTCAACATATTTGTTTTCTATTCTTAATAATTTCATTCACCAAGAATCAGGAAATCAGGATTCAATGAAAAATAGAATTGATTAGCGGTGTTTCAAGATCAGAAATTTAAATTATATTATATGATCCAATCCTAACCTAACGACTAAAAATATAGTCCTGAATGTATTATTCCTATAAAAGAAGTGAAGCTATTGACTTTCTTTTGTTCTGATTTATATTTTACGTCTGTTTTCAGGAAGAAAACTAATTTAAAATAGTTATCTTGCAGTTTAATAAAGGGATTTCTTGAAAGCTGCACACACAAAAACACACACACGAACACACACGTAATCTGAAAGTGCTTCTCGCTCATGGTCACGGACAAAGGCAGAAGGCAGGGATCGGCTACGGCTCAGGAACTTGACTTTTAGAGAGAAAAGAACAAAAGATGAAGAGGAGAAGGAGGAGGATGGTGGAGGAGGGAGAGGATGTTGAGGGTGGAGACGTGAGGGTGAGGGGCCTTTAGATTTTCTCAGTGGGTAACATGATGGTAAAAATAAAAAAACCTTTAGGCTCTGATCAAATTGTGTGATCGATTTTAACTTTAAACAGGAAATGTTTCGATACTGCAAAACATGTTTTTGGAAAGACCTAAACGCTGGACATAAATGGGGGCCTTACTGGCATCACAATCCCCACTGTCTGCATGAAGGTAAGATCTATTGTAGGTTTTACTTTTATTGATTTGATGCCAAAATATTAGGTTGTTCGTAAAAGTGCCACCATCTGGGCAATTACCTAAAGTAAAGAGGGCTCCAACACCTGGGAATTCAAGATAAACCAAAGTCATTATCCAAATTTACAGAATTACAGAGGAACTCACTGTCAGCTCTGAAGGTGACGGGCAGCTTGCGACCTCCATCTACACCAGACTGCACCTGAGAGAGAGAGAGAGAAACAACAACACGTCATTAAAAATAAGCGTCCAATAAAACTAGAGTCCCTTGAGGCAGATTTGTGATTTTGGGTTATATAAATAAAACTTGACTTGGACTCTTAACCTTCCCTTTTCCTTTTTGTTTGTTAGATTATTTAGACTACTTACTACTACTAAAGCCTTTAAATCATGTAGACTACAATTCCTAGAGATAAGAATATTGCATATTTAATATTTTATTAGGGAGGCTGTCGAGATGCTACAGAGCCTGGCAAGTCGCCTGGTTCCAGACATCTGAATCACCGCCCACATCTCAGGTCTGGTGGTGTGCTCATCGACATCTGTTTCCGTGGTGAGAGAAACAGTCGACTAATCAGAAAATCAGGTTAGCATGAGGTGGGATTGAGAATGGGGGCGTCATCTTCCTGCAGCAGAGCCAAAAAAGTTGACACGAACAACATCAAACAACCGTCACACGCGGTTGTAGAGCCGGGCTGTTGTAAGTCGACTCAGTCACAAAATTAGTACAAGCCACGGGTCAAATACTGGTTAAAATATGCAAGTGGCTGGTAGATGTGTATGGAAGCACATTGCATTCTTGATCTCAAAATCAAAATGTCATAATTATGAGAAAGCTGGGAAGGTGCCACTTCCTGGCCCCTGCTTTGCTCAGAAGAGCCACTGCACATCTGCAGAAAGTTATCAGCTTGATACTCCCAATGCAGAGGCTAGAAGTTAACAGACATTTCGTTGTTAGAACACTTTATAGAAGGTTTAAAGATGACAGTTTTCGTTTTCAAGGGGGTCCAACACAAACCACACAAATGGTTCTAAAAACAAAGAAACACAGAAAGAGGCTCTCAATTACCAACCAACCTGCACAACATTGCCGTAAACCTGCATCACCCACACAAACTACTTACAGAGGTACATAAAAGAAGTAGTGACAATACAGACACTTCCATAGATATGCTTCACTCACCAGCCAAAAAAAACAACGGTAATCAAAAAAAGTTAATTTTGCACACTGAATTAACTTTTAAACTGAAATATTTCTTTGATCAATGTTTGATCAAATAGTAGTTGACATTTTAACATTAAAATGTCAAGCTGACCAGAAAAGCTGAAACTACATCCAATGTAGCTTTACAACAAATGGACAAAGGTAATAACCTAACAATGTAATCATAAAGGAATTAATTCAGTATCTGCAAGAAACCCTGTACAAAAACACA